TGTGTTAGGAAGGGCATCACCCTCCGGTTTAGGGAATCGATCATTCCCGCTACTTGACACTGGCAGGATAGCACATCTGAAGCACGGGGTCCAGGACTGGACTCCCCGCACAAGAGCATCATGGCTGTGCTGGAGTGAGTCTAGTAAAGACTCACAAGAGTCTTTAGGACCCTATTTTCCTACGGAAAGAAGCTGGTAGCTTGGTCTGCTCAGCCTGGAGAAGGCTCAGAAGGCTCTGACCAGGATCTGATGAGGGGAAGTAAAGAAGATTGAGGCAGAAACTTTTTAGCAGTGTATGATGGAAGGGCATCAGGCAATGGGCAAAGCCAGGCAATTCTCTTTAACAATCAAGAGAAGAGAGAGAGAGAAAAAAAAAAAGTGTTGTTTTTTTCCTGTAAGAGCTGTCAAACTTTGGAATAGGTTGCCCAGAGAGGTACAGTCTCCATCCCTGGGGATACTTAAACCAGCTGGACGTAGACCTGGGCAACATGCTACAGCTGTCCTTACATTTGAGCATGGGTCTGAACTAGACCATCTCCTGAGATCCCGTCCAATCTCAACTATTCAATGATGACAAATATAAATACTTGCCATAAGGAATCTGACATTTGAAGTCTTTTTTTTTACTTGAAATGTCTCTGGTCTGGTAAAGTACCTTTTATTTTCATTGTTGTTTGTATTCCATTGTTTTTTATATTTTTGAAATATTTCTTCAAAAAAAGGCAAGGAATTATGACAGTGTCCTCTGTACTCTGCAAGAGTTCTGATAGGTAGGATAAAGAAGGTCAATTTGGCAGCAATAAAAATATCTTCATTAAAATTTGAACAGTATTAAAATTAAATTTACACAAAATTACAACACTGTGCTGTGTTTGATTTTGTACTTTCCACTCAGGAGTATATTTTATTGGTTTATAATGTTTATATCCTGATAAACGTTCATTTTACATATATTGTACAGATGTTTGTTTAAGGGGATACTATTTTCCACTTTCTCTGGACTGCCAGTATTCAGTCTTACTGTGTTTAAGAAAATAATCTGCCTTCTGTTTCACAAGACTGAGTCACTCGTTTCTCAGTGACAGTATTTGCAGCTCTCAAGGAGTCGCTTCTTTCTGTTTTCAAAGGTCCAAGCTCCAGCTTTGAGGCCTGTCAACAAAAATCTCTGTATTTTGAAAGACCACTAAACAGAGCTCCAGCATTCCTAAAATGCTGTCTTACTCCTGGGATATTACCATCTCTACAATTTTGTATTATCAAGTGGAAGTCTGTACGCTTTGAAAAAAAATGCTAATTGATGAAATATTTATTTTATCACTGCAACATTACATCTTGGTTGTGTGTCAGAGTCAAAATATCATAGAGCTTTGTGTTTCTGATACAGCATAATACCAACATTGTTTGCAGAGAAACACAAATCTCCTGGTGGTTCAACTGTGCACAATTTAAAACATATCATAAGTCTGAGTAGTATTGATCAGACATTAGCAGAGGCAGTACAAAAATATTGTCCAAAAAGAATAATTTTAATTAAAAGCTTTGTAATAAGCAACAGGTTGCAGTTTCTATAAGCAACAGTTGCTCTGTTTCCCAAGCAGTATCAAAATGTAATTTTCTCAGTTCCTGGAACTGTTGTTAGAAAAGGCACACCAAAAGATTTTTGGGGCTAGAAGGTCATATAAAATTCTTGAAAGGCAAAGCAATAATGAACTGCTGTTTATCATATTTCTTCCTAGCAGCCAACAGAGGTAATATCCAAGTCACGGCAAAGAGCCCAAGACTCTTACACCAGCCAGACCCTCGCTCAGGAGCAAGTTGAGAGCACAGTTACTCAGGATGCCTGGGCCTACAGAAGGACGAAATGGAATGTGCTAATCCACATCTCCCTGTGTCTTAGGTAAACTCTAGCACTGGAGTTAATGTCTCAAATTGGTGAGTTAGTGCAGTAGCTGTCTTTAGTTTTGTTCTTGTTGTGCTAATAGTATCCTATCACATACATGCTAATAATCCTTTACAATATAAAATGTTTCCAAGCAAATATCTTGTTTGCTTAAGCACCAAGGAAATTGCTTCACCCTTAGAATCTGTAGGATACTTTTTAGTTTTGGGGTTATTTTTGCTTTCTGGTGCTGTTGGTAGGTCACAAGTTTATCACGTGATGATAATTGTACTTAATTACTTGTAGCTACTTGAGGAGTACCTACAAAGGTCCGTTCACTTTTCATTCTTAAACACATTTTTTTTCCATCTATGCCTTTTTTATAAAGCAATTTAAAGACAGATGGTGGGTCCGTAATCTCATATTTGTCATTTTGTCATAATTAAAGGAGCCTAATCTATTACTGTGGCTTCACTAGTTTATATCTATGAAAGTGGTAATTGCTGTATTCTACCAAATGATAAATAGCCTTATTTGACATATACTAAAATGGAAATATCCCTCCTGCATAAAATACAAAATAGTCTGGATAAATGTGGCCACTTTGAGGTCAAACCTCTTTTTTTAGGCAACTAAATTACTATTCTATAATCTCTCTCTACTCCATCCAGCTGTGAAACATAATAGAAACATGTTGTAAACAATCTGCCAAAGCTTTTGGCTATAAATATTCCATAAAACTATATGATAGCTTCAGTGATCAAAGTTATTTTTCTTGTTGTGGTTATATCTAACAGTACAGTGTCATTGATTGGAAAAAAGCCCTGATAAGCAGCTGAGCTACATTTAAACTTAACAATAATGTATAGTAGCTTCACTTCAGCGCTGAGGCATATCCAGGCTCTTACAGAATCACAGATCATCAAGTACGACCCACCCTGCTTGAGCAGGGACACTTACAGCACATGGCAGAGGGTGGCATCCAGGCATGTTGTGAAGACCTTCAGAGAAGGAGACTCCACAACCTCCCTGGGCAGCCTGTTCCAGGGCTCTGTCACCCTCCTCACATGGAGATGGAAGTGCCTGGATTTCAAATTGCATCCATTGCCCCTTGTCCTATCACTAGCCACCACTGAGAAGAGCTTGGCCCCTTCCTCCCTACTTTGAACCTTCAGGTATTTATACATATTAATCTGATCCCCTCTCAACCTTCTCTTCTCCAGGCTGAACAGGCCCAATCCAGTCTAACCAGAAAATCTATTTGTCATTTTATGGAAGTATCAATTCCTAAGCCCAAAGTCAGTTAACTTAGACTGCTTCAGTAATGCCAGGAATTTTCTTCCTTTTTGGTGGAAGAGCCCCTTTGAAGTAGCAAGGGACCTCACATTTTCAAATTCCCCACAGAAATGAAAGAAAATAAATAAGTTTCATCAGTGTACATTCTACCCTCTGTAGAGGGTAGCAAATCAACACTTTTGAGCTAATCAAATACTTAATAAAGGACTTAATTTCTACAGTTCTTATCAAGATGTTGAGTTTGAGAGAGTTTGAAATTCTTTTCTCTCCTTAAGATTGTATGCAATTTATAGTTAGAAAAGCACATCTTTAAAATTATATGTTTGACACTATCAAGATGAAGGGGTTTCAGACCAGAGGGGCAGGAAGAACTGAGATTCAAATGGAGTAGATTTGCGTGTTTTTTTTTTTTTTTAAATAATAGTGAATCACTCTTTCTGAGACAAATTACACCTTTACTTGATTATTTTATATTTTGAAAAACATTTCCACAGCAACCCCATGAGTTCACCAGCTTTTGCTAGTCACTGATATTAAACAAGATCCCATTATTTGTAATGGTAATTGTATGTTCCAGTAGTACATACAGTAAAAAACTAAAGTAGATTCTAGTCCAGTAGAAAGACAACCATATTGACCATAAAGAAATGTGCATGCAGAAAAGTGGTGGCAATTGTGGCCTTCCCACCATTTTTCTTACTGTATGTAACCTGTGGGAGTGGTGGGCAGTCAAGTGGATTTTGAGCTAAACTAAAGACAGACTACAGCCAGCCTTCTATAGTGGTAAGTGTCGTGTATTTTCAAGATTATGGTTTCACAGTAAGAATGGGAGTGAGAATTGCAGAGTCCATCTCTTTTTTTTTTTTTTTTTTTTTTTTTGTGGAGAGGAAATGACATTAGTAATGCACATTTCAATAAAAGGCTGAATATATTTGTCATAGCATTTACACAGACCCAGTACCTGGTGGATTAAGAAACTCTTGCAGGTCATCTTGACTGCTAAGTATTTATATGGTAGGAGTAGGACAGTTTGTGGTATTTTAATGTTGTGCATATTAAAATACACAGAAGAATTGATATTTATTATATTACACATGGCTTCTATTAAGCTAAATATGTGAAAGTCATGTTAAAACAGTAGACTGGCTCTAAATACAGTGTTACGACTATGCAGCTGTTACTGAGGGAAATGAGCTAGATAGTTTCTGTTAGACATGCTTATGAGATCAGTTTTCTCGGCTGTTTTATTAACAGAGAAGAGCTGTAAAATTCTCTCTTTTTCAAGGTGAACTTCTCACTCATCACTGCAAAGAGAGGAATCTGCTACTCTGAAATTGAAAGAGTTGATAATCTCATTATAATTCATCTGGGGAATAATCCAATTAATTTTAAACAAATTTAACAATCTTCCTTTGTTTCTGTTAGTCTCTTGATGCTTTATTAGGACTGTTTGAGGATTTTTTGATTATCTGGTCCAGTATTCATGGTTGGTCATGTCTTTGTGCTTTATATTGCTTTTGGGAAAGAGAAAGGTAAAGCAGCATTAAAGAATGACATTACTAAGTTTAAGTGATTCTTCATAGTTTAGTATGTATGTTAGATTACCATAAGCTTAGTTAAACTATGCTTTTATATCAGTTAGATGCCCACCTGTTAGAAAAAAAAAATGTGTTAGTTTGCAGCCAAATGCTAGTGACAGTCTAACTGAAAACCTCAGCAAAAAAAAAAAAAAAAATTCTGACTTCTTCTCCACTGACTTGCTCTGTTAAGCACTTTTTAGCATCTTTAATCTTGTACCACAGTGCACCAAGCGAATTCCCTGATAAGAGCGGATGGAAGTGCAGCATGCTGTCCCTGGCTTCAGCAACTTGGAGATAACTTGATAACGCTGCCAGCAACAGTAAGCGACTTGCTGACATTTCAGCAAAGCCTAGTTGTAGTTGGAGCATGTTTCAAAACACTGTAGTATTATTACTTTGAGAACATTACTTGCTTATGCCTACATTTCATTGCACAATCACATCCCACCCTAAAAACCACAGAGCTCTCTATTGTTACTGTTGAAGGCCAGTAAGAGAGTTCTTCAATAAAAATACAAAAGATCTTGCATATAGTCAGCTTTTACATAAATTGTAATACTTGGACACCAAGTATTTCCTGTTTAGAAATGTAGCCTGATGCGTTGTTCTAGATTTTTTTTTTTTTTTTTAATAAGGCTTAGAGAATAACTGGTATTCATCTCTGTGTTATTTGATGAGATGAGATGCAAAAACTGTTGATTCCCATTTCTGTTTTTCTGCTCTGAAACAGGAATTTTTGGCCTCAGGCACTTCTCTTTCTCCATTGCAGGTAAGTTACTTTGATCCAAACAACAACTGAATCATTTTGCACAATGTTGAGGCTAAGTAAGATGAATCCAAATGGAATATGATGCTTAACCTAAAATGTCTTTAGGTAATGGAGCCCTAAGAGCTAGTGTCTCAGCTTCACTCCAGATTTTTTTTTTTTTTTCCTTCAATTTAAAATGGGTGTGCTAAACTATGTTATACTCAAAATTTTCAAAGTAACTGAAACAATAGTTGTAAAGCTCATCTACTTTTCCTACTCTCCAAGTGCATTGGAACAGCACTTGCACTTGCTTTCAGACATTGCTCATGATTGGAGTGCTGTAGTTATGCAATTAAAATTGAGCCTAGGACAGGTAAGTCGGGCTGAAGAGCACCAGCTACTTAAGTACAAATGCATATAAGTTAAAGAAGGGAAGATAAACTTTTTCTTTTTGCTTTGTCTCACATGTAAAAGCTTGTAAACATATATAGATAATTTCTCACCCAACTGATCTTGCAAAATTAGTTTATATATCACTTTAGTGTGGGAAGATATGAAGGAGTAAATGATGGAATTTTTTTCTACAGAGAAACTGAGAAATTCAGGAAAGTTTAATTTGTGTGCACATCATTTGGAACCACCTCCAGCTTTTTTTTTTTTTTTTTAGTTGATCAATATATCTATGGCTAAATAGAAATGTGAATTTTGCTACAATTTTCAGTTAACAAACTGCTTCAAAACTCAAGATGATGGTGTGTATATTCACCCTTTACTCTCTGGAAAATGACTTTGATTAAAGAAAGGTATGTTTAAATGAAATAATTAAGAATCATGTCTATGATACCCTTTATTTTATGCATGGCGACTATCTAGCCCCTGAAAAGATTTTTTTTTTTTTTTTTTTTTTTGACCTTATGTCCTGGTTACACTTGGATCTACCCCTTTGAAAAGCTCCTCTACTGGAAAGTGCTCTCTACTATGTGGACAGCCAGGCTTAAGAAATCATCTGGCATTTCTTTATGTGCTGTATGAGTAGGAGGAGTAAGCCTGATAGAAATTACATCTTAACTTGAAGTGGGGGAAGTGAAAGGTACTATAATGGAAACAGAAGTCCTGATGGTGTTGTCATTGCTGAATCTAATTTAATGTTGTTATTTTATCACTGCCGTGTAATCTCACAAATACATGTCATGGTTCAGCAGAGGAAAAGAGGATAAGCACATTGTAAATAGACTTTTACACAGGCTCTGTACCTGAACATTAGAAGGATATTACTGTCATTTGAACAGCTTTTATATGTAAATGAAGAGTACTGAAGGAGAACTGTTCTGCAGTCTTATGAGAAATACCTGATAATGAACTTAAAACGTTTTGCACTGAGAGAGGGTTTTCTCCTGTCTCTGTGTTGCCCACTTTGAAAAACATATGCAGATGTCTTGTGAAAGGCAGGCTAACCTTGGTAAAACAAAACAGAGGTTGTACAAACAAAGAGTGTGGAAGAACTTATACTCACCTTTGGAAAAAGAACATGTAAAACAAATTTCCCTAGAGAGCAGTACCACATATTAGAGGATAGCAAGGTGAGAACTAGCAGCATGCAAAAGAGTTATTCAATAAAACACTAGGACATGTTCCTCCATATATTGGAAGAGGAGAAAATAACAGACTATGATATTCCAAGGTAGCTAGGAGCAGTCATAGGAGAGATCGAAGACTGGTTAAGCTACAAGCCACATAAGTGATATTTGGTTATATTTTATTTTGGGCATGTACTCTTTGCAAACTATTTCAAAGTATATAAATTTAAAGGGAGCTATATTAAAACTTCTCTAAAATATTGCTCTAATAAGAAAACTATATTTCCCCGAAATAGTAACAATGTCTACTATTAAGATTGCAGACAGATAGTTTACTAGTCTTCAATCTGATTTTCATCAGAAGGCAAGATAGATTGCAACAGAAAAAGCAACAGCCTGTTGTAAGTGAATATCTTTGTTAGGCAAGACTCAGAGCAGCATATTTGTGAAGGTCTCAGAACTTTATTTTTAACTCTTAGCTTTTATTTTACTCCCTCCCTTTCAGTTAGCCATAGTTTTTGTGTTAAACACTAAAATACATAGTTTTTGTGTTAAACACTAAAATAATTTAAAAGCTTTTAGATATCAATGAAGAACTTGAAGAAAAATCCATCATAAAATCACAAAGATGTAACCAAAAGCTTAATTCTGATCTAAGTTAGGTTCAAAAGCTATAATTAATATTAACACGTGTATTCCTAATGAGGTAGTGCCTTCCTCTAGAGTTCCTTGCTTAACTTTGAATGCTTTTCTATAGACAGGTTATTTACCACATGTAGATAGTTTTAAGAAAAATACTACCTGAATTATAAAAAAACAATCACAGTAACATATTCAGATAGCCTCAAAAGTAGAGTACCTAGGTACCTATTCAAACATATTCAAAATAGACTCTGGCACTCAAAAGGAGGAAAAAAAGTTGTAAAACTTAATGGAATAGTAGTCTAATCTGCAGTCAAAGTTATCATCAAAAGACAGATGTAAATAAAGTTAGAAACTACATTAATATAAAGATACAAGACTAGATAAGTGGTTAATACGGAACTTGAACTGTGAACTTCCAGTGCACATAGTTCCAAATGCATTGATATTATTTACAATAGGTCATGCCCAAAATCAAGTACCGAAACCAAGAAAGGATGTTTTTTGGCATATGTGAAACTTGAATTTAGCGCTTCATACAAATATAATTATCTTATCCTTATGAATGAATTTGCATTCTAGAGTTTCTCCTGCTCACAACAGCCCTGTTCAATTTGAAAGAAAAACATCCCGTTAGTAAGGGAATTAAGCTATAGGGTTTCTGTCACTTATTTAGAAATATATATATTGTAAATGGGACAGATAACTTAAGAAAGGAAGATTTGATAATTAAGAACAGATAGGCAGAACAGATAGCTCTGGAGAACAGGACCCTGTCCATACTTATGATCTATTTTAAGAAAGAATCTTAAGAGGTCACTTAAACAAGCCTTTCAGGTCAGTGCATTTCTACTACTCCACTCATGCATCCTGAAAAGTATGATTGAAGGCCTAGCTGACAAGACTGAAGAAATGTGTGAGATTTAAACCATGCTAAAATAGACTCATTCTTAATTTATATATCAAGCTAAACATCTAAACTATGCTGTGAAATATTAGTAGTCTTTCATAAAAATTATTTTTAATGATCAATTTTTGTTTTACTCGCTTTGACTTCTCATTCAGTTGCAAATCATCCTCACCTGAAAGATCAAAAGGCACGGCAATCAGATGGCAGTTCATTCAGTGGCTTCGTTTTTACATATATAATATTATATAATATATAATTACATGTAATTAAATGTATATGTATGCAACAACTGTATATGAACAGATTATGCTATAGTGCTGTTTTTCCTATATAAAATTGTTTCTTCAAGGGGAAGCAAAATGAATACTCCCTGGACCTCTTCTCTCTTGCCTTGCAACAGCTGCAAGGGGGCACACAATAACAAAGGAGATGAGACCCAGGGAGCCTTCTCACATTTGTCCATTTGTGCTCTAAACCATGAGCAACAAGCAGGAAGTAGAATTAGTTAACCCTACAAGAAGAAAAATTGATCCTTTTTCTCAGATATTTCCTAACTGTGTTTGGTTTTGCACTCTCACTCACCATCCATTGTACAGAGGCAGCAATTTCAAATTTATCAAGAGGAAGGGAAAGGAACCATTTGTTAGTGATGGTGGGAGAAGAACGGAAATCTAAACACAAGCCAGGAATCACAATAATTAGGAGAAATTAGGCAGATGAGAAATCTTAGACAGGCACATTCAGATTTAAAAAGAAAGTCTGAGATGCCAGCAGAGGCCTAGATAAATGTTATCTCTGGCACCTGAGGACTAGACTTCAGGGAGAGGTTTTGGATGCCATATAAGATTTTTCAATAGAAATTCTATGAATCTGAAAGTCCTGAAATACAGAGGAGGAGAAGAGGAAAAAGAATCCAAGAGAAGCTGAAAATATGCTGACACGTAAGGAAGGAAAAAATCAACTGCACTGATTTTTGATTCTTTTCTCTTGAATTTTTGATTCTAGCACTAAAGCAAGAAAAAAGTGTTTGAAATTAATGTTAGCTTAATTAGCCTAGCTTAAACTCTTGGCATTTATAGTGCCTATTGCCTTTGTTGTTGCTTTTTTAATGGAAAACCTCATAGATGACTTTTTTTGTCTGCTGGAAGGTTGTAATCAAGGACAGAATAGACATATGGTAGATAATATAAGCAGTGAGATTAAAACCTATCAAAGTTATATATAACTGCACACAGAATTAATTTGCAGCATAAAACATCTGTAAGGCACTGTGAGCAAAATTATGAATATTCAAATTCTATCTTGCTTTAACTTTATTAATAGTACCAATATTTCCTATGCCATATGCGAAGATAATTAGAATGATAGCATTGCATAAAAATATACATGACTTCCCTTCATTCACATAGTACTAAGTTTTATAAAGCACTTAGATATAAGTACATGCAGATCAAATTTTGTTTTAATTATTAAAGTCATTTTTACGTTGATTGGCAATTGCTCAAGTTCCACGATGCAACAGAAAATATACCTTGTCATGATATATAGAGGAATCACTTTGTTCACAAATGAAGCGCAGCCATCCCTACAGTGGACATCTGCTGTTTTCAATAGCATATTGCAGCGTTACATGAGTTAGGAATCATACTGTAGACTATATAATGAATCATTGGTTTGTTTCCAAGGCAGAAACTTTAACCATCATGTGAGACTTCATATTTAATCCTTTCTTGATAACTCTTTGGCATTAATATTGATTCCTCTACTGTTTAAGACAGTACTGTTTTCTTGCTGTAACTGTAGCAAAAGTACAGTGATAGCTGCTCACAGATGACATTGCATGTAAACTTTGTCACCAAAATTCCACAGTTTTCAAAGAATTCTGTGGAGGATAAGTAACTGTAAATAATACTGTAGGAACAGATAGAAAACAGATAGAGAAGAAAAAAGAATAATGCAAAGTGCTGAAAACTGTCAACTGCATGCAGCTTGTATCTATTTTAAAAGCTGGCTTATTATACAGAATTTGACTCTAAAACAAAGGAAGACACACATAAAAAAAGTGAAATATTAAAGAAAGAACAACAGTTTTTGCTTGTGCTTACTTATGCATTGGTGTTATGAATACTGAGAATAATGTAGAGTCTGACAGAGTCTTCTTGTATCTCCGTGCCAGCCTCTTTGATAAGGCAATTTCTTTAGTGAAATCCTCTCCATATTGGTTGCCAAACTTTGCTTTCACTCTGATTAACACAAAAGAACGAACTTCACTATCAAAATCTAAGCTTCTGCATTCACACTTGAAAAGTATGCAGTATGAAGTAGCCTCCCACACCCCCTCCCATATTCTCAAATGGAGTTGACCCTTGCCTTAATCCCATTTCATTCCAGCTTTCACTGCTTGTACAACTCTGTCTTTTCTCCATTTTTAGAAATTTAAAGAAAAATATATGGGCCTATATTTTAAAAGCTGTATCAAATTTAAATTCTACAAGTCTTAAAATCCTGTCTGTTCTTTTACAACCC